CTCATCGTTCCAATGGCTGCAGTATTCGCCTTTACCAATTCGCAGTTGACCGTAAATCTTACACAAAACTTTCCTCTCGAAAACTCTTAACGCCGACTCATCAGATGTTGTCATCGTCCATGCTTCCTGGGTGCTTCTAAGCTGCGTTACCTAGCTGCTACAACAACAACAACACTTCATTAATACCTGTAGCCTGTCTTTAAAAGAACTGCAGCGTGTGACAGTAGTAGTCCTGAAGCCAATGGATGTTGGAGCTACCATCCTATAGTTCTTTATACAGAACTTTCACTTACCTCACGTCAGTTTAGTTCCGGGAAACAGTTACGAGAAGCAGTTGTGATACAGGATCTACTCCAAAAACAGTCGGAACTTAACCCTGGAGCGACATTAATGTAGTAGCTACATACAGACAAAACCTGACCTTACCCAACTGAAATCCAACTGCTACACTTTTAAACTACTTATTTGCTATCTCTTGGATATTGGTACTATATAGCCAATAGAGCGGTACTAAATTTTCAACTAACAGTAACTAAAATAACCCAACTAATCTCCAACTGTGTTGCCAAATATGCATATGAGTGTATGTACATATGTATGTGTATGAACATAGTAACAGTTTGTTTTGAAAATTTACCTGTTTCCTAAGCGTAAAATCAACCAAAGAAACAGGTTTTTGGTATAAGAAATCCAAACAAAAGAGATTACTCAAAGAAGTCTTAAGGAAACAACAGAAATTTTAGCAACAAAAGGCAGTGCCATAAAAATGCGTACATACATATATATATGTATATGCATGCATATGTACATAAATTTCTAGTAAGGGCAACATGGATGAAACTCAATAGCTCATTGCTGGAGTTGAGCCAACATATACATACGTACGTACATACATATGTATGTACATTCACAGGAGTGTACATAAGAGCACTTTCGTGGCTAGCATGACTCAGTCGCGTCGCGATTACTTCCACAAGTAGTATATTTACTTAGCAGCCTGGCTGATCTCCGGTCTGAAAGCCGCAGAGGGTATATACATATGCATTTGCTGATTCCTTATTAATTTATCTTCGCTCCACATGTTGCAAACTGTTTGTTGCACATGCACACATGACAATTGTTTGTTTCTTTTTTTTTTTTGTATATTATTGCTTTTGTTGTTGCTTCTTTTGGCAGGAGTATTTCTGCCTAAATACTTGCATATGTACCTATGTATATACAATAGATATGCATGGCTATCATGGCTGTATGTGTGCTCTTCTCCGGAAAGCAATCGGAACCTACTATAAAGGCAAATTTATGCTCCCTTAATGCATACATACATACATATGAGCCGTTTGTTTTTTAAAATGGTTTAAGTCCATTTTTTTACATTGAAAGTTAAAGTTAATAATAACAATAATAACGATCTTATATAAGCTTTTTTTATAAACAATTTAAGTCTAGTATCATTAAAAACGCTATGATTTAGTGCACATGAAAATAAACTAGTTAACGAAATTAAAAAAAAATAAAAAAATATTTTGAAATTGATTTAAGTGGTCCCAAACAACTTTTTTGCCATTTCCAAAAATAAGGAGAATCTAAAACAGCCATCATTCTAAGACCGTAAGAGACTTCAAAAACGAATGTAGAGAGAGGTGAAGAGGAAAACATTTATGGCTGATTTCAAAGGGGAGAGTTTTTTGGGTTCCTTCAGTGAAGAAGCGAAAAAGGGAGTTTATCTTCGTACACAAGTAATTGAGTCCACTGGAAAGTTCGGAAATCATGATGCTATATTTGCCAACAAAATACGTCGAGATTAATTATTGAATGAAATGAATGTATGGACGGTTGTCCAGCTTTTGGATTTTATTTTATTACTACCCCTCAAACTCCTCTAGGATTTTGGAAAACGCAATTTCTATTTTTATTTTTATTAATTCTTTTTTTGCTTACAGTGTACTAGCAAAGAAAAAATACGCTATATTTTACAGTTTCCTTCTAAAAGCGCGAAAACGCAAGTCAGGCGGGTGAAAATATGACACTGAAAATTGACACTGTTACAGCCAATCATGCACAATTTCGGTTTCATTCCGGTAATTTTGATGTTTAATGTTGATAATTTTGATGATCCTTCACGGAGTGGAAGCCCAGTTGTCGAAAATGACGATGAATCATGGACATTTTCGAGTCCGACCGTCATGTAAGCACTGTTTCGATTACCCAAGAGCTAAAGATTGTACAAAAACGGTTTGGAACCATTTGAATAAGACTGGATACGAAAAGTAAATAATTAAAGTCTTAAATTTCGTGCAAAAATAATGGATTTCTTTTTCTACACCAATATATCCCGTGCAAAGAAATAAAAAATTCAAGAATTTCGGATTCAGAAAGTGAAGATATTTAAAAAAAAAAAACAATAATTTTATTACATATAAAGGGAAGGAGAATCGCAGAAAATTTTTTGTCATCAGATGATGATGATGATGAAAGAAACGGTGATAAATACGCTCAAAAATTAAAAAAAATCTTATGGAAAATCAGAAAAAAAAAATTAAATAATAATATCAAAAATATTCCAAGACAAAGACTGTCATTGTTTAAAGAATTGCATAAATCTGATTTATTTGGAATATACATAATTAGTGCTTTGTAGCCGATGAAGCGATTTTCGGCCGAGCTCCTTCTCCAATTTATGGTTTCGCGTGTTGTTGTTCATCCAACAAATGGAGGTACCTACAGTTTATACAAAGCCGCCTCCGAACGGCTGATGGCTTTTTTATTAGGAGCTTTATTTCATGTCAGAAATACACTCGGAGGGGTTGACATTCCCTGCCGAGCTGCGACCGCAATTAGAAGATTCAAATTAATTTTTAATTTTAATTAGATTTTCAATAACTTTTTTGGATGTTAGGACGACACCAGGTTTTAAAGCCGAGCCTTGAGAAACGGCAAAGGTGCGCCAAGAAATTTCACTTACAAAATCTACTCACAGAATTTTTTTAGTATGTAAAATACTATTTTTGAGTACTTACAATATATCAACAGGCCGATTGATTACAACGCATTTTAAATGTAAGAATAATGGAAATGATTTTCTTTTGAGAAAATTAATGAAAAGGATAGAGAAGCCGCAAAAAGTCATATTAAATATTTTCATCAATATGAATCTCATTAAAGAAGGTCTCATAATCCAAGTATCTAGCTGAATTAAACGTTAATAAAATGCTCAATATTACTTAACTATTTTGTTCGCTAATCCATCGCATGTAATAAGGATAGTGGAATTAATTGGAAAAAATATTTTTGAAAACAAAAAAACGCAAGCCCCTTAATAATCTCAATATAAGAAGAAATGGACTTAAACCACTTTCGGCTCATATTTACGTACATACATATGTATATGTACATATGTTAAACATTATACATCATTCATAGTTGGAAGGGAAGAAAATAGTCCAAGCCAAAGATATAAAAACATGAACTATGTACTAGCGGAGGATGTTTACAGACCGGCTCGTCTACCGAAGGTGGTGATGAAAATAGCGGCTTTCGAAAAAATAGGAAAAAATGTGGCTGCATTTTGCAAATACCAATGATGCGGCGGCTTTGTGAAAATTTTCGTCCCTCTAGCGGCGGTTATGGCAAATAACATACATAAATGCTTCATTTATACTGTATAGATGCATGGATGTATGTATGCATCTATGTATTTATATATGTATGTATTTATATATGTATGTATTTATTTATTCATACATTTGTACATAGCGTTAAATGGAAAATTTAAATTTTTTCTCTTATTTTCATAACTCAAAAAATATAATAATAATATTAATAAATAAAAATAAAAGTGGTAAATATTCAAATACTAATGATAAGAGATTATTTTTAATTTATATGTGGGCATTTAATTTTGACGTTTAAGAGCTATTATAGACGCGTATATATATATATATATGTATATATATGTATGTATATGTCTAAAGCCCACAAGTGTTAATGCCTATTCTTGTAGCTATGTACATATGAACATATGCAGATACAGTATAAGCAAGAATTCTATTTGATTTTTGATTTTCGGCAAACTACGCCAATTTGTTTTTTTTTTTTTGCTTCCAACACAGGCGCTTCTCACATCGAACTCATACGCAAATCATAGAAAAAAAATTGCTGAATAATATTTTTTTTTTTGGTTGGTGCAGTAAAAAAAGATATAATCCGAAAGGAAGAGGCGTTGTGACGTATTCTTTTATTTTATTTTTTTCTTGGGCGCAAAAATTCCTTGCGCAAATGAATGAATGTTTTGTGTATGTATGTATTTGAGTAAAAATTTTTTAAATTTATTTTTAATGCAATTAAGTACCTACATAAATATGTATGATTGTTTAATTTAAAATATTTTCATACATAAATATGTATGTATATACACATACTATACGCAGCTAATAATTATTTTAAAAAATTTTCAACCGTTATTAACGGTCAATTTTTGTTTTTTTGTGATTTTGTATTGTATGTATGTATGTACATATCTATCTATATCTTCAAATGTAAATAGCTATATATATTTGCATATTTACATATGTATGTATATATTGCGAATTTTACATTGATACCTATCCCCGATTGGAAGTTAATTGTACGTGACCGCCATATGATTAGCCGATCTCATTATAGATTTTTAATAAAAATGTTTTTGCAAGAATATCGTCGGCCTATAATTGAAACCGAGGCTCTCATACTAACTGAATAGATACGTTTTCATATATACACATATTTTCGTAACATTTTTTTTTTTTAATAGATAAACACTTCATTTTTTTTAATGGGTTCTTGCATTTATCGCGAAAGTCAAAGTAAATTTGAAAATTTTCAGAAAAAAAATATGGAAGTAACGATTGGAAGCTGTTGGTTTTTGTTTACATTTGTCTTCATATACATATGTGCGTACATAGGCACATAAAGTATATAAGCGTAGGTACATACTACCTACAAATAATAATTTCATAGCTTACCACTTTTTGATTGTTCGTCTATCGTTTCCATTTTGTGTTTATAAATTTATTTTGCAAACGTTCAGTTATCTTATGATGATTTGTTGCTGTGTAGACTTCTCGCAGAGAAACTGGGTTATTATTACAAATCTAAAAGTTGCAAACACGCACTCAATAATTTTAAATAAATCTCATAAATCGTAATTTTTTTAAAACACTGCACTGTAGCGTTCATCACACATTCGTATATAAGTACATAAATACACACCACCACCACCACCAGGGCAGGGCAGGGCAGATGTTGGCCGACGGATCGCAGGATATTTCCGTAGCGTTAATGAAATACGCCGCCAACAAACACCTGGCGCTTTGAGTAATCAATTTTTATTTTGATGCAACAATTTGATTCCATATATTTCACAAAATACTAGCATCGAAAATTGCAAGAAATCACTTTTCAAAATATTTCTAATTTGCCATTTCTGCTACTGGGCGCAGGGCTTTAAGGGCGCGCAAATTATTTAGGACTTTTGTTCTCACGTCAGTAGTGCTATTAGTAAATCAACAGTTTTCTTTTACACAAATTTTCTACACCTTTTTATTTACTTTTCTAACGTGTCGTTTTAGTATATTTTCAAATATTTTTTTGACAAACACAATTCGCATTTTTAAAACATATCACACATTTTAAAAAACTAATAGGAAAATTTGATTTAAATCGCCGTATCCGCAAAATTCCAAAGAAGCGAACAGCGCACAATGCAGAAGATAAAAAACAACGACAAACGACGACGCTGCCCTACGGCGAAATTCAATCGACTGCGGCGCGCTGCTCTTAAAATCCAAACCCAACGGACAGATAATTGTCAAGAAATGTGAGGTTAAGCTGTGTTCCATTGGTAGTGCAAATGTCAAGACTAATTGACAACGTAATTTCGTTGCTGAAGAATTTAAACACATTAGAGCCGCCTGCGCTATTGTACAGAAGATGTCACGGTTGTAGTTTATTGATAAAGTGTGGGGTGGTAAATAATTATTAAAATAGATGTTTGAATTGTTCAAAATGTGGAAAATCGTTAGCTATGGTATGTATATTGATATGTAACAAAACAATAAGTGTGTTAGTAGATGTATTTGTAAATTAATGCTCTTCAAATATTTCCCTATTTTTTGGTAGTAGTTCTTAATAAGTAAGTATATTAATACTTATATAAACTGCACTTTATGCAATAGTTTTCAAGGAGTCAACCAACCTAACTTACATACTCACCTTGATTTAAGTTCTCTACGTATCCAGCTTCTGTGTATGTACCGGTACTCGGTTCAATCAGTCACAACAGTGGTGTCACTAATACATACAGTACATCAATGCAGCAATACGTCAAACACTTCAAATGACAGTTCTTCAATTCATCCATCAGTAGTTCATATTAGTTTGTCAATCCATCCGTTCACACAGAATTGATACAATTATTAAAATTTTTAGTGTAAAATGAAAAGGTACTTGTTGTTTTAGAACGCATTCACACACAAAACGTTTCTGCGCGCCAAATAATTGAAATTTCAACAGTTTAAAATTCAAAATGCTGGCACCTGATAAGTTCATCTCCCCTATGAAGCAAATGACTGGTGCGGAGGAAAATCGTCACTTTTTGCGAGCATTCATTCACACATATCGGGATTTGCCTGTTTTGTGGGACACCTCCTTACGAGATTATACAAATCGTGATAAGCGCGCTGAAGCTTACGAACAGCTTGTACCTATCTACCGTTATCTCAAACGTGATGCAAATGTTGAAGACGTAAAGAAAAAGATCAACACATTACGCACAAATTATCGGAAAGAGTTGAAAGTAGTGGAAAGTGCACGTCGTAATGGTACTATACATCATCCCCGTTGTTGGACATACCTTGAATTGGATTTTCTACGCAATACCGAAAAGTTTTTAGCCGTTAATCCAAATACTCGCGGTGATTCCTTTTCAGCTTTTAATGAAAATTCTCAGTCACAAGCTTCCTTCATGGACTCGTCAACAACCGGTTATAATTTTCGCACAATGATGGGTGTAAACACAGTGCAATCGCCACCGAGTATTGCCGAAATGTTTCACAAATCCTTTGGTAGCACCCAGAAATTAGAACCAGAACAGACCCCTCCACCAACTGTGCCACAGGTGCCTGTAACATCTTCTACATCTACTGCGCAGTCGGGAAACTCAGACTACAATCACACTGGGCATCAAACCGAAAGCACAACGGTTCGTGCAAAACGTTTGCGCTTTTCACCAACGAACGTTACAAATTCAACTGGTCAAACTCCTGAAGAGTTGCTTAGCATAGCATGTGACTACCTTTCGGGTACATTTCCAGAAGAAGAATCTATTGCACGCACTTGGACCCATAAGCTGAAGCGTTTGCAACGTGAACAGCGATTGTTGGCTGAAAAGTTTATAAACGAAATACTTTTTGAAGCTGAATCGGGTACACTACACCGCGGATCGGTGCATATTAATAGATTTGAACCATTTGTTCGCTTTGAAGAGCAATCACGCAACGATAATGAACAAGATAAATCACAAAGTCCCAGTGTGCATACGTCCACAGCAGCATTATCATATGAAGGTGAAATCAAATCAAGTTCAAGCTCATGTACTGGGACTGAAAATGCTAATACGGCAAATGAAAATGGATATGATAACTTTCCAAACTAATTTTATTTATCTTAATTAGCTTTAAGTTTTAATGTGAATTTTTTTTTTTATTTTCGATTGAATCTCTAAAGCGAATATTCCATTACATTTACACGTTTGAGTGTGTATACATATCTTTCTGTACATAAAAAAAAATAAATATCGCTTTTTAAAAAACTATTATGATGACTAGCAGAAATATCTATCTTGCAAATGCATACGCTGTTAACAAACTTAAATGGGTATAATGGTACCAGCTTTCATCTTCCTTGCTTATGAGGTGATTATATGCCCATAGCGCTGTATTAGGCTCCTTTCAGTTCACACGCTGATAATTTGTCATGCCGCGAGCACACCATACAAAAGGTGATGCTGCGGCGAACATTAGACTAGCACCGATCATTGGTCGATGTAAAATCCAGGCGATTGACGCAATTATTAGTGTAAAGGATAGTGAGAGCATTAAGTTAGCACCAACGGGAAATTGTGGATCGGGCGCTAATACTGACAAGACATGAATACGATTCACTGCAAAACAAATTAAATATATTATTTAATTTCACTAAATGGTTTTATACTTACAAATAATATTTAAAAGTCTGGAAGTACATGTAACGCCAAAGAAAACCAGCACCCAACCCATCAAACGATAGCCCCATGTGGTCAGCCGCTGGGCATGATGCTCTTGCTTAAAGACCTCGGCTAAACCCAATTCTCCGCTATATATTAGCAGTACGTCGACACCGCGACTGGTGCGATATGGTAATATTTTGTTATTCTCCAATTTACCAACTATCGTATACTAAAATAATACTAATTCTTTAGTTACATATATAAAACAAAATGGATATTTATTTTTTTTAATAATTACCATTTCTCCTTCCAGACCAGCGAAAGAAAATAGTAAACGCACGTCGCCTATTTCCGGATTGAAAACATCATTCGTATGGTAATACAGTCCTAAATGCATTTTAATGGTAGGATCTTCTGGTCTCGTGTCCGAGGTTAATTCCACATAGTTTGTAAACTTATTCTTTATCTCATTACCCAGTTCGTACTTTCCAATGAAGACTGCATCGGCAACTTGGGTTTGACTCTCGATGGGGAATCGATCGGGATTTTGATGGCCCGTACGTATGTAAAAACTTCGCGAATCGATTAATTTGTCTCGCCATTCCGTATAATAGTAGTATGTGCGACTTTCCGTTTGGACCGAAGCAATACTCTCTCCATAATTGTGCTCCCTGTATAGAAAGAAAAAATAATAATAGGTAGCATAAACATCTTGGCTATCTTTCTTACTTTTTTCACTTACATTGACTCTTCTACCCATTGAAACATTTGCACCCGACGCTTTAATTTCACAGCTAACACTTGTATATTATAATCTGGTTCGGTGAGCGGTTCTCCAATCACTATAGGTCCTGTCATATGTACTATTCGATTATTGTAATTGTGCTCCAGCTCTTCGTTGGGGTCCAATGTTATAGCATCATCCAGTGCTTCATCAAGTGATAAAATGGTGTGCACCGCTCGTCCCTGTCATTTCGTATAAGGAATCATTTGTTGTTACACTCCTACACTATACCACAAATTGAGCGTATAATCTATTTTAACTTACTTCATTCCATGAGAGTAGGCACAATCCACCAGTAAATAAGATGCAACCAAATGTGGCTATTAGCCAGTTTGCCCGAAAGGCTTCAAGCAGCGCCATGCCTTTGCCAATGCCTACAATGAACTTCCTACCACGGTATTTTATTATTGAAGATTTATTTAATCCTAAGCGTTCTTTATTATTTAATTTATTTGTGAAGAGTTATAAAATTTAGTATTTAAAGAATTTTTGAGAAAGTGCGTAATGTTTTAAAACGGAAGACTTGGAAACAGTTGATGAACAGCTAATAAACAGATGATAAACAGCTGATAATCATCTGATTGCCGAAGATTGATGTCACAACAAACTGGTCAAACAGCTGTTCTTTTTTTCCTGACCAACATAATTTTTTATTTCAAAACCAAGAGGTTAATTCCTACATTTGATACAATGCACAGGCCAACAGCAGAAAGGCTTGCCACTTTAGCATTCCAACAATTTAGGCAATTGCCCAAAACTGGAAAACCTAACACGAACGAATGGACAATTCTTTCCGCGATACTATTGTTTGATGCGAAACAAATTTGTACAAAAGTGGTAGCAATTGGTTGTGGCACAAAGTGCATTGGTAAAAGCAAACTTTGTAGTCATGGCCTTATTTTAAATGATTCACATGCTGAAATACTGGCCAGACGTGCCTTTCTCCGTTATATTTATTACAACTTGAAACAAGCCTTAAAATCCAGCTCAGTGAATGATACAAGTATTTTTCAATGGGATCCCCAAAATGCAGTATTCCGACTTCGTCAGAATTTAAGTTTTCATTTTGTAAGCACACAAACACCCTGTGGTGATGCTTGCATCCAACAGCAAGATCAAGAATGCTTAGAGGGGCCTACTGCGCCAAAAAATTGTAAATTAGAGACTGATAATACAAAAAAAGACACTCCAGGACTTGATAACGTAGGTAACGTTCTGGAGCATTCTCCAACGGATGCTGCTGTTTACACGGGTGCAAAATTAATCGGCTTAGATGAAAAACAGGATCCAATGCAACAAAAAATCGGTGCTGTACGTACAAAGCCGGGTCGCGGTGATCGTACGCTTTCCATGTCATGTAGCGATAAAATGGCACGATGGAATTTGTTAGGTGTACAAGGCTCACTGTTAGACGCCCTACTTGCCGCACCTATATACTTGGAAACGCTAAATTTTTGTGGTAACTCAAATAATGCGGAATCTATAAGACGCGCAATATATGAACGTTTTAATGATAGTATATTCACATCTACCAAGTATGAGGTACAAAAACCAACAATAAATTTTTCCGATAATATGTTATTCGACTATGCAGAGAGCACTGATCGGCTCAATCCATCGCCCACTGGCCTTTCGTGGTGTAGTATTCCCGAGGAACTGAAGTGAGTTATTTTATGCGAAAAAGAGACATTCACAAATATACAATGAAACTTTATGCTTTCTTCCGTAGACCATATGAAATATCAGTAAATGGCAAGCGCCTAGGTGTCACCAAGAAAAAATTGGATACACCGCATGCTTCACTAAAAATTAGTAAATATCATTTGATGCATGAATTCGTGGAGGTTTTACGATTAGAGTCGAAACTACTGGAGAAATATAACATTGATGAAAGTGAACTACACAATTTACAATATAAACAGTGTAAACAAATAGCCAAGGAATATCAAGCAGCTTGGTCGGCAGCGAAGCAGAATTACTTTCAACAATGGACACAGAAACCAGAACATTTGTTAGGATTTACCTTGCAGATGAAACAAGATTGAACTCAAATATTAACACTAAAAAAAGAACGATTTCTACCGTTTTTGTTGACCCACCACATATACTCGATAAGTATTTTTAAGTGAAATTTAATCAAGTAATTTATTTGTATATATGCATTTGTGTATAATGCCACTAAGTATTGAATGTTTGTAATAATAAATACACAATTTTTAGGTTGGTTTTATATAATTGTTTGTATAAATACTATTTATGTATGTATATCTGTACAATTTATGCTGACATGGGATCATAACTTTTCAAATTATCCAGATCATCAATGCGTCTAAGTGTTGCAACAAGCACAATACTTCCTTTTGCAGTTATAAAATATATATTTGAAACGATGAAACACGCTAAAGCTTTCTTTATTTGAAAATTTCTAAAAATCTTTTGTCGTCGTAAATATGTATAAAAATATGCTATAATTAACTAAAAAATAAAAATTAAAATGAACGTTAACATTTTTCAACTTTTTTTTATTAAAATTTAATTAACTTAAAATAGGTACAATTTCGTAAGTAACATTGACGCTTACGAACGAGTTTAACAAAATCAAATTATGCGTATGCATATTCACAAAATAGTGGTAAAAAAAATAAACTCCAAGAGAAGTTAAGGTAGATAGTAAAGTATAAAAAATAGTGTTTTATAAATGTAAACCATGCGCTTTTAAAAGTTGCCATGAGGGGTAACGTGGGAGGAAAACTACGAGCAATTTCGAGAAATCGTATTTAAAAAAAAATAGACAAACAATATCTACCCAAATTTAATTTCTTTTTTATATTTGCACATTTACCGTTACTTTATTCATATCTTTTTATATTTCGCATAGCAAGAAAGAACATTTATATATATGTAGTTATATAAGACTAATATATTTTTATCATTATTTGATTAAAACATAAAATATATATATATATATATCTTGCAGTATATGTATTATACCATGTCATATTTAATTGAGGTCTTAATGTGCCTACATGCTAACTAAATATATGTAATCAATAAAACGTTTAAACGACTTTTTTGGTTAGTTCTTTTTCTTTTTATATTGTTTACTCGACCGTTTTGAGTTTTTATCACCGCAAGTAAAGCTCTAAAGCTACAAACACTCATCCTTATGTGTACAAACGGAAAGCGAAATTTCAAAAAAGTTCACAAAAAATACATATAAGTATATGTAAAAAGCTTGTCCTTATAGAAAACACGCATATGTATTAGCCTAAACAGTTATTTAGGCAAAGCCAAGTCCAAAACAGTAATTTACTATAATATCTCATAACTAAATTTTCATTTTTCTTTATACTCTTCTATATACGCTTACATTTTTCCATTCCAACTGGGATTATCATTTGCATCATACTTTGCTAAATTATAAACGAATTATGAACTATTTGTTTTCCTTTTATATCTTGCCTTCAATCGCTTTGCAATCCTATTATTGTAGAATCCATTAAGCGAAGAGCACTCGCCTCTACAGACTTTTCGTAAATGTATATGGACTTAAAAACTAGCGTTGACTAACATGCCACACAATTAAATAACTCTTGTCGCCCCGATTTTCAATCGTTTGGTTTGGCTCCAGTTGAATACTGTTTTCCATGTCATTGTCATCTGTAAGTGATAAAGTGTGCATGAGTATACGTTCTAACACCAATTTAATATATGTATGTAAAAGTGAAAAACTTTAGTATATTAATAATTTGTTTATTAAATTTTTGTTTAAGCAGCGCTTGCAGAATACTAAGAAGCGGCTGTGCACTTAAGCGTATCTTTAACAAGTCACATGATAGCAGGTACACCTGATACCTTCATCAGAGCATGAGTGAAATTAAATGATTTGTATGTGCGCACCCGAAAATTTTGTAGAAGCAGAAAGGCGTTAGTTGTTTAAAGTAAAAGATAAGTGCCAAAAAGTTGCGTTAATAAAGAATGTTTACATTAAAATTATGTGTAGGGAAATGAATAATTGTGTTTGAGAGAAAATAAAGAAAAAATTAAAAATGTTTCTCATAAACCAACTGAAATTGATAAATGAAGCAGCTCAAATTAATTTGCTCTTTAATTATTTCTTAAATGGTTGCTTCTTCATCCAAGTTGAAAATATTAATCTTAAAAAACTACTACTACTAGAAAAAATATTGGTTACTTAGGTAACTAGTTATTTTGCAAGGTTTATCATAGGAAGTCCATAAGAAGTGGCATATAATTAATTTTTATTTACATTTATTTTATTCGACCTGATTTGATGCTTCAAATCGAAGTGTATCAACGATTTGATTGATTAATGTTTTATTAAATAGTTTCTAGACAATACTACACTATTGCAAATGTCGGTTTTTTATTTTTCTCTTTTTTTCTATTTTTTCGTTTTTTCCTTTTTTTCTATTTTTTAACATTTTAAATTTTTACTTTTTTTATTTTTTACTATTTTTTTTTTAATTTTTATTATTTATCCGTTTTTACATGTTTTATTTTTATTAGCAAAAATAATTTTGTTCTCTTTTATTTTATTTTCCGTATTTTATTTTATTTTCCTTATTTTAATTTATTTTCATTAATTTCATTTTGAATTTTATTCTTTTTGTTATTCTATTTGGTATTTTTTAAATTTTTTATTTTAATTTTTTTTATTTTAATATTTTATGTTTACTTTTCATTTTACATTGTTTTATTTCATTTACTTAATTTTTTATTTTTATTTTTTGTAAAATTTATTTAAATTTTTATTTTGTTACTCAATTTCCTTTTTATTTTATTTTAGTTTTTTTATTATTTTATTTTAATTTAAGGTTTAAGGTTTTATTTTATTTAATTTTTAAACTTTTATTTTATTTTTTACTTTTTTTTTCTTTTTTGCATTTATTACATTTTTTATTTAATTTTTTTCATATTTTATTATATTTTTCATGTTTCTTTATTGTTTTTTTTTTAATTTTTTACCTTCTCATGTTTTTTAAATTTTTTATATGTTTTTTATGTTTTTTATATTTTTTATAACTTTTTTATTTTTTATATTTTATATTTTTTTGTTTTTTTTTCATTTTTTTTGTTTTTTTTCATTTCTTTTTTTGTTTTTTTTCATTTCTTTTTTTGTTTTTTTTTTTCATTTCTTTTTTT